TAATTAAAAACTTCAGAAAACGTTTGGATATTGCTTTAAAAACGGTTGAACATTGTTCTACAATAAAGTATTAATTTCTATTACGCCTACTGTTCACACCATCTAAGCTCGAGTAGCCGTTACCTTCTTACACTTCGTGACGTCACTCTACATGCTACAAACATTATAAAAATTATACTAACTACATAACACGCACGAATTCATACGGCTCATACAAACTGCAAGCACTTAGTTACTAAGTCGCCGTCCTGAGGGAGATGTTTGCCAGAACACTTGCAAATAATTCAATAAGAAATTAAATGTAAACATAAAAAACGTATCATTTTCTTCTCAATTAAATAGATTCTACACATAAAGACTGAAGGTTTTTTTTATTTCTGACCCAAATAACATCCACATGACCAAAGCTTACATTCAGAATGTTAGAGATTCCATTACAACGAATATTTTAATAAAATAAAATAATTTCACAGTGATTTTGTTTACATAAAATTTGATATTAAAACACACATCTTGTATCGCATACTAAAATATCTAGGAACTTACAAATAGGTAGACGGCCGGAAGCTTGCGCTATTGAGTGAATTCACATACGATATTGAAAACGAATACGGCCTTAACCCTGTTCAAACCTTTACATATGTATGTACAATTAAACTATTTCAGTAGTTCCCATTGCACAAAACATGTTTTTATACAGGTCCAATGTGCAATGGGAAGAAGAGTACTCCGATATACGCCGTGAATTCGTGCGCGCCCGCAAAGGTAAAGCTTGTTACAATAGCTAGTACACATTGAGTTATGTTTAACTGCACAAGATACTAGGAACAAAATTATTTCAAATTAAAAATATCTGCCATACACATAACTATGAAAAATTATTTACTTCTAATGTATTGCCCACTTTGATTGTCTATAGCAATTATTTTAGACTAGCTTTCGCCCGCGACTCCATCCGCATGGAATTAAGAAAAAGAAAAGTAGGTAGCCTATGTGTTTTTCCAGATTATCCTCTACATTAATGCCAAATTTCATCGAGACCCGTTCGGCCGTTTAGGCTACAAACTCTAATACACATCATCCATCAAAATTTTCGTATTTATTATTAGTATGAAGTATGATTATTTCAATAACAGACTTCAAAAAGGAGGTTCTCAATTCTATTGGTTTTTTTTTTGTTTTAAGGATCAATTTCCCTTAACTTCGGATATGTATTACTCATGTATATATTCTATTAGAAATCAATTCATTATTAATTGTGAATTTTCTTATGTTAACATTTATTACTTGTACGATGTGCAGTTAAAGATACCCAAGTGGAGTAAGGCGCCGTGTGGTGTCAGCAGTATTAACCTACGTTATATATACGTACAAAACGGGTCAGGCACGATGTGGCATCACCTAACTACACAACTCCCGCTACAACTAAATGCACACCTATATTTGGTAACTTAACCTATTCAACCGACAACCGCACCCATCATTGAGATTATCCAAACAACGACCGCATAAAAAATACATCTCTTAGCAGCTAAATAATTACATAAAATGTGCTTAATACGAAAGAAATACACTTAAATCTCTACTAAAAATAAATATTTCAATAATGAACTTCAAATGTCAATAAAAATTAAATGATTTCGAAAATATCTCTAGATTGCATGAAACATTACACTTAAGAAAATGTGAAATCCTACGTACATTCGAAAAAAAGACTCACATCAAAAATGTAACAATGATTAACACTTACCTCTATGTACAAAATGTTTGACTTTTATACCTTTGATGTCTAAATTGAGTTACAAAATTACATTTGAACCAAAATATGTGTAAAACTCTGTAGATATTGTCTTATAGATAATGCTAGATCACATGTCAGCTTCAATCCATTACATATGTTTAAAATATAGCTCTATAACACGGTGTAAAGTCACTTTGGTACGTAAAACTAACTTCATAGCCTTAACTAGGGGCAAGGTGACTGACCTCGCCTTCTGCGACGTGAGGAGTCATGGGGTGTGGGGGCACTAGTTCATCCACTTGCGGCAGTTGGGGGCACTAGTTCATCCACTTGCGGCAG